CAGATTCAGAATCAGCATTTTGAGGTGCATCTTATGGTATGCATCGCATTTTAAGCATCCACGGTCACCAAGTATCTTTTCCTTGTAAGAAATCTCTAGTGCTCCCACTGATCCAGCCATTATCTAATCTAATAGAATAAATAACCACTCTCCGTTGTCCTAATGAAATGCGAGAGAGCTAGAAAGTTGCAATAATCTTGTTGTAAAATTCGGGAAATATGGTCAAACAGAGAGAAAGTGAGCATCTCTGTTGAACTGAGTCACCGTTGCCCATCACATTGTCATTTCAAACATGTTGATTTTTTTGGAAAGCAAATCACAGGGTGGTCTGTGTATCAGACTTCCCCATCTTATACTTACAGCAACCACAAAAAAATATTGTAATCTGAGGTTAAAGGCAGGGAAAACAACCTAGCTCAATATCACTCTCAGAACTTTACTCTGTTGTTCATATTTAGGGCATGATGTGACGGCGAAGGTGCTCATCGACGCGGGTTCGGACGTGAATGCACAGAACTCGCAAGGGTATACACCTTTGGATTTAGCCGTTGCAGGGGATCATTACGATACTGTGAACGTTCTTTTGGAAAAGGGAGCCGTTGTTGAAAACGAAAATGATGACAGGTGCGGTGTCTTCGAAGTTTTTGTTGAATTGTCTAGTCGGATGCTACCTCCTTGAATTTACGGTGCTAGGCACACTTTAAATTTACCTGTAAAGCACCGCTTTCGTCCTTTGTTGATGAAATCCCTGATACGCGCTATTTCGTGCTGCCAATGTACCACCGTTATTCAAAGCGGCTCTCATCTTTATTAATTCTACCCGATCCATATAAACAAGAGTATCCACAACCCGTTTTTCGTCCACTATTGCATTCTTTCAGTCTCACCTCTTTGTATGGCGTTGTATGGCTAAGACTTGAAATTTGCATCTGCGGCACCTGAAACAAGCAGCTTTTGCATAACCCCTATTTGCCTACAAACACCTTGGGGTTTTCAGTTGGTATGCATTTTCACTGGC